GGGGCGTTTTTGTCCCTTCAGGATGAGCATTTTCGTATTGTGCGCCTACGGCACTCTAATTATTTGGTTCTTTGGGTCACAACCTGTAAGCTTAAAATGACAAGTTATACAGATGAAGGAGAAACGATTTCTGGGCAAGAAATAGTATGATAATTTGTTTCTCGGCTTTTCGATGCCCCTGACGTGAAACAACAGGTTGCACCCCTAATTTGCTGGAAGCAAATTAAGACCCTGTCATTACACAAATTAATTAAGGGTAATGCTTGAGCAAGAGGGCTTCGTGTCTAGCAAAGTCTGAGTAAAGTGACGCTCCTCATACCTGCCTGCTCCGTCCCAAGCAACTTCCTGAAGTGTGAGATCGAGCAGATTTACGGCGCCCGTCTTCCCGATGCTGTGATACGGGTATAATAATATATTAATAAAACGATACCGGGATTGGTGCCATGATAAACTGGCGGGAGTCGCTAGTCACCCGTGACCCCGCAGGTGACAGTGTGGTCAGCAGAGCATGATCTGCCACCTGCTCCCACTTGGCACACCGCCCCCCCCCCCCCCCTCCAGCGTCCACGCCGAGGGGCAGGCGCGCTGAGGCGTGCTGAGAGATGACTGGTTGTTTTGGCTAGCGGGCGACTCGGCGGCAGCGGTCATATATCGCCCGGTTTTGAGAGACAGGTCGGCAATTTGCGTGCCGCGAACGTGGTCTAGAGTTTTGTCGAGGTAATTTGCAATTTAACTGTTGTAAGCTGAGTAGGATCTCCAACATTGCGTTAAAATCGATGCCGATGCGGATGTGGGCATTACGTCAAAACTGACCAATGTGGTTGTGTTTTAAGAAAGGACCGATTTCCCGAGATGATTGATACGCAACAGCATCTTAAATTGTTCCAGCTTGCATTGGTTTTTAAATGCATTTCCAAGTTGTTTTTAAGTGTTGAAATAAATTGACCAAGATTTCACAAAATATCTTCTTCTAGGTGCGAACAAAATTGCCTTAGACCCTGATTCTCTTCCTCAAAACCGAGGACCGGGAAAACAACGAAATACTGGGCGAGCATGCATTATCATTCATACGCTGTTTTGCACATATTCAAAGGATGAGACGAATTCATGTTCCGTTAAAGTAGTGCAACCAATCCTCTTTACACAGAAAAACAACAACGGAACCTACCACAGGGACAGGCTCTTAATTTTAACTTGTCCTCTGGCCAAGTATTCTACGGCATTGTGGATTTATATGGCTAAACTATTTGGCATAAGAAGAAGTATCTACTCTCAATGCTTTCATCTTCTCAGCAATCTGGCCTGTGGTGGCTCAGCAGATTGCTGATTACTTTACCTGCGGCAGAGGTTGGTGTGCGCGTGGTACGACATGTTTCCAAAGTGGCTCACTGAATGGCTTTGGGCAGTGTTTGCCCTTGAAGATAGGTGACGAAATGCTGCTAACATGTCGTGTAAGTTGAAAACGATATAGGCATTGTTCTGTGCTGTGCATTGGCTAATGTGTTTTAATTTGATTTCATATTATAGCTTCCCATGATCTGAGAAACTGGAGACATTTTGCTCGTTTAATCCACAGTGTTGAATGCAAGTTCCAAATGACGCTGGCTGCTGCTAGATTGTATTCCGTGACAGGGATGCACAGCAGTGACCATTTGCCTGGAACTTGAAATTTGATTGATCTGGTAGTGTCTTTTGTCTCCCTTATCTCTCATGCAGTGCCTTGTCCGTCAGTGGTGCTGCCTGCAAAGCTGAGCTTGTTTCTTCACGTGATAGTTGCTGAGCTCTGACTATAGGCTGTGATGATATGCCACGCATGCTGGTGTACTTTTTGCTCGATATTGCAAGCCATCAGCCATGTGTTTAAAGCGTGTACCTAAGTTATAATACCACTGGATTCGTTTGAAACATTGATTAATGCTGCTGATATCCTGATACGATTTTAGCAAATAAGCCACCCAGAATATTCCAAACTTGCACGTACAAGCAACGTCAAAAATTGACAGAATCCGGCCGAAAACCGAATCATTTTACGTGGGCTTTCGGTTTACCAAATTTTAGTCTCCAAGTGACACCAATAACGCATACAATGAAAAAAGCTGAATTCCTAAGCGTAATCATGTCGCATAATGAGATGCGCTGCTCTCCGAGTTTTAACTTTCGTGTCACACTCCAGCCTTAAAGTAATCCCATGATAAGATTGCATTGGCGGAACTGACACTGCGACAACAATGCTGATGGTTGATTGGCAGGCAGGTGGGTGAGGGTAACCAAGCAACTGGAGGCCGGACTAGCGAAGCCAGAATAGGAGGGAGAGGCTCGGCTAGTGGCTCCAGAAGACGAACGCAGCAAGGCGCTGCAGTCCCCAAATGACGGCGTCCACTTCTAAAACGCATAACTCGCTATAACTCAACTGTTATGTCAAAGCGGCGCTGATCGTAATAGGATTAGGCACAAAGTGAGAAGTGGCGTTGGACTTCCCAGCCGGCACTGCTCCTGGACCGGACTGATAAAAAGTATTGGGCATACACGCCGACAAGGTTACGCAGGTGGCGTCATATGCTGAATTGGCGTCGTTGGCGGTGAGTAACGAGCGTGACGCTGACAGGAGCGCGGCGAGACACAGCGTCGGCGATCTGGCCCGGGAGGCTCGGGACCATCCGACATTGGGCAGCATCCTGGCGGACAAGCGTGCCCTGAGGTCGAAGCGCATCATCTCCCAGTACCAGTGTCCGGGTCCTAGCACCCTCTTTCATTGCCGCCTATACCAAAGCGGCCTGCCCTGGAGCAAAGATTCCTGTTCTCCCCGGACCGAAGCACGAAGCACGACCCCCCCCCCCCCCCGCCCCCATCTCTCCTCCTGTTGATTAATATCCCTGCCAAGGGCCGCGCAATATCAGCAGCAGTGCTTCGTCCCGGTGCACCCCTGCTGGCCGTGTCGTGCCTGTAACACCGTATGTTTGCCCTGGCGCCTCGCTGCAAGCAGCTGTCAACCACGCCCGCGTTTCGGTTGGCTCTCCAGCAGGGGGCGTCTGTTACATGCTGTCTAATGCCTATCTGGCGGGGGTGCCTGACGACTTCAGCAGCAACGGGGCGTGCTGTCCGGCGGGAGTGTCCCGCACGGAGTGGGTGCCAGCTGCCAGGCAGCAGACAGGAGACTCGCTGCAATAGCTCTGCCGCTGGGGAGGGGGAGGGGGGGGGGAGAGGACAGCCTCCGCAGCAGCAGGGGCTGTGTGGAGCACATCCAACAATGAGGCAGCTCACACTGCGAGATCCTGAGCCCACCACCAAAGCTCAACACTGCACGTAACGGCGCCAGCGATGGCAGCTCACGACGTCCCAATTGCTAGGCATGGCTCGGCTCGCCGGTCGTTTCAACTGCTCCATGGAAGCACGGTCAATGGGGACCGGGAGCGGGGACCGGCGGACGTGCCGGCGCGAGGGGCGTCGGAACGAGAAAACCGAATTCGAATCACGTGAAGTCTTGTCCGTTAATGTTTTATTTAGGCTTTCAACTATCCAAATGACTCATTCGTTGGCTACTAATGAGCTGAACTAGCTAAATACGCTTCGATAAACACCGTAGAGAATGAGGACACTCAGCGCTGCATCGATAAAGACTGCAGGAGATATCCACCCGGGCTACTAGCGCCATGTTGGATAATATCGGCCAGAGAGTCTACTCATTGCTGAGAGGCAGAGGGAGAGAGAGAGAGGGAGAGGGAGAGGGAGATGGAGAGGGAGAGGAAAAGGGTGAGAAAGAGGGCGAGGGAGAGGGAGAGGAAGAGGGAAAGGGCGAGAAAGAGAGAGAGAGGGAGAGGGAGAAGGTGAGGCGGAGAGAGAGGGTGAGGGAGAGGGAAAGAGAAAGAGAAAGAGAAAGAGAGAGAGAGAGAGAGAGAGAGAGAGAGAGAGAGAGAGAGAGAGAGAGAGAGAGAGAGAGAGAGAGAGAGAGAGAGAGAGAGAGAGAGAGAGAGAGAGAGAGAGAGAGAGAGAGAGAGAGACCTCGCACCTCACACTGCGGACCTTGTTCGGCTGACATGGCTCGCGAGCGGCCCGGCCCGCTCAGTCCTGTTTGGGTTGGCTGCGGCGTCGGCCACCTTCCCCTCCCTCTACCATTTCCATCACTGAGGCCGCGTTCCTCTCTGACACACTGAATTAAATGAATAAATAAACAAAATGAATCGATCAGTTAAATGGTTGAGTGAAATAGATAAAAGACTTGAATTACTATATAGATGACGTAATTGAATGGCGCTGACCAACGGCTCACAAAACAGTTATTTTTGAGCAAAGGAACTGTGTTGCCTATTTTTTCCTGCTTTGGACCCTTAAGTGCGTGAGTGGCGCTTGACGCTGTTCAGCAGTGATGAACAATTTAAAGCCACTTTGCTTCTGACAGAGTTACTGTGAGCGCTCTTGTGAGACCAGAAGTTGAACGAGAGAGTTGTGGCAGTGTCATCTCAGCATTCGTTGCTTTGCTTTATGGACTGAAGTTCATATCTGATGCTTGTCGGCTCTGGTTTCAGGGGTCTCTGGACGTCGTCACCCTCGTCTTCAGCAGCGCCAGCGGGTGGATCTGGAGCCGCGGCCGTAGGGAAACCAGCGTGAGAACAGGGACCGGAAGGGAGAAGCACCAAGTCTCTCAGGAGGGTCAACAAGAGGCCAGAAAAGCTGGCAGAAGAGGCACGGGCACCTGTAGGCGAATCGGGGGAACCAGCATCATCATCAGCACCGACAGCAGTGCCGCCGTGTTGAGTCAAAGCGCCGGCGACGGTACAGGACGGAAGCACTTCCCCAGTGCTGGTGGCGTTGGTGATCTCAACGCCACGGAAAACGCGTCCTAGAATCTCCCGAGTCTCCTCCGGACTTTTCTGTTTTGTGTGCGACACATATGTGACTACATTGATTTTCTGAGGCTTATCAGCCAGTTTGCAGCTGATGCCAGAGCTTCCAACTTCTTCTCCCGAGCGCGTTTTCTGTTTGCGACAAGCAGGGCAGCCTTTTTTCTTTAATACGTAGTTCTCGACCGCTACCAGTACACGCTCCCCACCGCAGCCACCAGACGGGACTGAGGTGGCCACGGTTGGAGCTGCGTGTGGCAATCCAAGCTCCCGAATCCAAGATCTGCAAGAAACGGCGATGTCCCCCATAAACGGCAGTGCGCCGACGGGCGCGGCACTCTTCCTCGATTCATCCGGCGTTAGCCTGAACTCCAACGCCAGCAACGACTTCAACAACACCTACGGCAACGCCACCGCGTTTCAGGCAGAGTCGGTCGGGCCGATGCACACGGTCATTCCGATGACCGTACTCTACGTAGTGACGTTTCTGCTGAGCGCCGTCGGCAACACGGTCACGTGCGTGGTCATCGTGTACAACCGCTACATGCACACAGCCACCAACTACTACCTCTTCAGCATGTCCGTGTCGGACCTGCTGCTGCTGCTGACGGGCCTGCCGTTCGAGCTGTACTCGTTCTGGGTGCCGAGCCACCCGTACGTATTCGGCGAGCCGTTCTGCGTCGGTCGCGGTCTGAGCGCCGAGACGTCCACCAACGCCTCCATCCTCACCATCGTCTTCTTTACGGTGGAGCGCTACCTGGCCATCTGCCACCCGCTGCTGCAGCAGACGATGTCGAGCCTCCCGCGCACCGTGCGTAACATCGCCCTCATCTGGGTCCTGTCGCTGCTCTGCGCATGCTTCCCCGCCGCGAAGTTCGGCATCAAGTACCACCGCGACGAACTCGATCAGATCATCGAGGGGACGGACGAGTGTAACGTGGTGCGCCACCTCTTCCCGCACGTCTTCGCGGTGCTGTTCATCATCTTCTTTGTGGTGCCGATGCTGCTGATCACGGTGCTGTACGTGCAGATCGGTCTGCGGCTGCGCCGGTCCGGCAGAGCGCGCGGTCTCACCCGTAGCAGCGTGCACCGAGGCGGCTCGGGACGCGGCGGAGCCGGCGGCACGGCCGCTCGTAAGGCCGTCGTCAAGATGCTCGGTGAGCGGGGAGGGGTTGGTCGGTAGAGCACATGGTGGTCGCGGTTCGAATCCCGCGCGGTGTGGAGGTTTGCAGCTGTCACCCCTTTAAGCGCGGTAGGCTGCTGGAAGGGGTGACGCACTAGCGACAGACAGGTGGTGTGCTGTAGTTGTCGCTTGCTGTGACCTCACCCATCATTTTGGCCAGTCTGGATCCAGTTTTTAATCCAGCGCGATAACGAACATTCATTTATCAGTTATCTTTTTCACGTTGCTTTTCTGGTTTCCGTTCTCTGCTTCCTCTTAGGTTCTTTCCGTCCTCTTTTCCCCCAACATTTCCAGGCTGCATCTCCTTGGCATATCACGTAATCTTAATCATATTTCAGCAGCCTTTGCGACATCCGTCGTGCGTATTTAACACAAACGCGCGGCTCTAGCACTTCTGTTTATTAGTAGAGATGTTTCGCTACCAATAATGCACGGAACCCACCGACCACGGGTGGTGGGAGGACACTGTTGCATTTACGGAACCCTACAGACCAATTTTTGTTTGAAGCACACAAAACTGCTTGCAATATGCTAAAAATTAGACCAGGAATACACCTGTAAAAATTTAGTGTTGAGGTGTGGCATGGTTTTGAGCATGCTATTATGTTAAGTTGAGATAGTCCGATTTTCGGGAAAAAAATTGTCTTTTGGCGTGGCCTAGTTAAGTTAATTCTGGCACAGCAAAATGAAACTGGGGACTACTCGTAGATCTCCCTGCAGTTAATCCGCTGTATTTTTTTTCGGCGGTGCTGCATCACTCTTAGTTTGAAAATTTAAGAGGGATCGCCCCCTATCCGCTTACATAATGAAAGGCGGCGAATCAAAGCGAGAGTTCAAATAATATTCGTTCGACAGTTAGTTTCAGACACCTACGTTTAAAAGTATATCTGAGGGTGTTGACAAATGCTTCGCTCTAAAGATTCATTACGCATCCCATGAAAACTCACTGTTCACGTTTTAAACCCCGTTCTGGTGATACAAAGCCGAAATATACTATTTGTGCACGGAATTGCGCAAGTGTTTAAGCTCAATTATTTCGACTGCTGCCCTGTTTTCAAATTATGTGTGGTGTTAGCGACTGCCGCTGTAGATCATATCGCCCTCATAAGGCTCCTTCAAAAGGATCCGTATGCGACGGTGTCAAAACAAAGGCCGTTCTCATATTGACAGAGTTTGATATTTGACTTTCAGGCGTCGCAAGGCGCTTTGATCACAGACCGTGAGCTCCTAAACACCACACCGGAAAGATCCTTGACGGAATTAAGTGATAATTGTTACGACGACCCGATATCCCTAGTAGCTCGGTCCCATATGCTGTCGTTTTAGTTCGAGTGGCATGCAATGTTTGGTGTTATTCGCGTTAATATGCGGTCACTGCAGAATTCATTGATCACACCGCTTTAGAACGGTGCCGAATTGCCGTTAAATTTCAGCCATGGGTGTAACCACTGGGGTAAGGAAGTGCGTGGACAAATGTCCCTTATTTTTCAAAGACTAGATTTTGACCTCAAATTGGTCGGCGCAATGCACGTTTTTTATGTTTTCTCGCTCAAAATTAGCGGCGCAGCTGTCCGCCAGATTCCATTGAGGGCTAATTTCTTATTTGTTCCTCCTGTGCCAGAGGCGTTGTTAAACCCATAATTCCAGCCATGCCACAACGATGTAAAATGCTTTAGATTTGTCTAACCTGACTTTTCCAGGTTACTCAGACCCACGGTTTTTTCAGGACCCTGGCGCTTGTTTGGGCTAATTCACGCGTCGTCTGTGCCCAGTGCTGTGACTGACATTGCTCACGTATCGTCCGTCTCCAGTGTTCTTGTTCGTTACGCTCATGATGCCATCTGTCCTCAGTGGCCGTGGTGGTTGCGTTCTTCATTTGCTGGGCGCCTTTCCACGCCCAGAGGCTGATGATTATTTACGCCCCTGGGAACCGCTACCCCGCTCTCAACGACATAAAGCAGGTATGATGTTCCTTTTTATTTTGAAACCCCTCCCCAGTGTGTTTTGTACGGTAGACAAGTGCACTGTTTTGACCATCCAAACCGCATTTTGCGAGGAGGGATAAGCGTATGTTGATGGATGTCTATTCCCGTTTGTTCGGATTTTGTGAGCTCTCTTCATTCGTTCACAAGGCACGAGCATCTCTTAAACACATTGTTGTTGTGGAACACATTCATCGGATACCAATAGGAGTGAAGCATATCACACTACAAACACCAATGCAAAACCACGATTTAACACGCGCTCGGCCGATCGGCTCAATACGAAGGGCTTGGATATGGGGGAGGTAATTTGAACCCGACTGAGATATCTCAAAGTAGAGTTGAAAACACCATGTTCTGCGAGCTCATTTGTGTCAAATTCTTGCGTCTCTGCGTAGTAAATTTCGGGTTTGATAAGGTCAGTAAGGTCAGATAAGGTCACGGTCAGACTCGAGATCAGTGTTCAAAGTGCCCGTATACCTCCTCGCACAGCCAGCATCAAACGAGACGCCTTTTTGGGCGGATTAACACTCGGATTCATATCAGGGCAGCGACCTTAGCTCACCCAAAGAGGCTGAAAATGACCATAACCCTTCGGATGATTTTGACATTTGAGTGTAAAGTCAGGGCCAAGAGCCAAGTGGCATGTTGCCCAAAGGGGAAGATTATTGGAGCGTAATTTACATCAAAGGACATGCTCCGTTTTCCCGTGAACCCTCCTGTTTATGACCATCATGACGTCAAATCATAAATCTGCCGACGTCCCCGTGATTAAGAACTCGAAGCTTGATCGTTTGACCCCGTCAGACACTTAATGGTCGCCCCATCTTGAAAGATACCCTACGAATCACATTCGCTGAAGCCATGACTGACTTCGACCTGTTCCAGTTCCGGCGCCTTAGAAGACGTATTTTTTACAATAACGTTGGCTGTTCAGTCAGCTATGCAAAGCAAAGTTTGATGTTGCGAGACCGAATTTTTCGGAAATTATTTTGGAACAACCTTAGGGGTCAATCGGCTTCTTACACGAGCCCGAGTTGAAAGCCGGAATCAAAGTAGTAAATCGTGTCACATTTCATCCGACGGATTCAAACGATTGGTGGTACTGAAATACGTCGGTGAAGCGTACAAAGCAGCCGAGAAGATTCACGGAACTTGTGATTTTGCAAGATCGCGCACATTAAGGTTAAGCCTCCGAGATTGCAGCGGGCTGAAAAATGCTGCCGGAAACACCAGGCAAGCGGTGTTTGCTCTTGTAAAAGCCTTGCAAAAATGACAACATGGCACATTGCATCGTTTGGTGAGGTTCTTTACGTTGTATGACAGATACAGGTCGTCGTGACGAACCTCGTCAAAACGAGCTTGTGGAGTCACGGCAAACAATCAAAAATTATTCGCTGGAAATGTTCCAGTCTCGAGTTCACTCATGCTTGTTATTAATCTGACGTTCGAGATTATGTAAGCTGCTAAGTGTGCATGTGCGAGGAACATTATTCACCTAGATGAGACAGTAGCAATAGTCCTATTCCTCCCAGAAAAAAGCGGGAGAATGGAGATATAGATGCGTTGATATTTTGGCAACATGCCTTTATCAAAGCAATAGCAGAAAATTATTTAATACACAATAACAGGAGACTTTAATAATATAACACAACAACAGCAGAAGACTTCCGCTGTTGTTTCGATAAAGGCATGTTGCCGAAATATCAGCGCATCTATATCTTCATTCTCCTGTTTTTTCTCTAAGGAATAAGGCTATTACTACTGTCTTTTCTACATGACGTTCGTAATGACGGGTCTGCCCAACTTTTCGGCAGCGTTCTGCTTGTAGGAACAGAGCCACCGTTCAGCTTTGTTAGCTCGACAGCGCTGGTGCGAGGAAAGCAAATTACCACGAACGTAATCCCTGTGAAACTGAGCGGGAGGGCATTTCGGTGTAGTTTAAGTGAAATGCAAATAACATCAGATTTGTTTTATGGTAATAAGTTTTGGTGTAGTGGTACTGGTGTCGGTGTTGCTGTTGGATTGCCTCGAAAGGTGAATTACAATACTTGCATATGTATTTTATGCAATTATTTGGATCAAACAAGGAATCACTGGGACTCCGGCTTCATCAAGCAGATAGCTATAAAGGCGATCCAGGCTCAAGCATTCCAAGATGCGTATTTCACGTCCGTAGGAACAGACTTTACCGATAAACAGGTTAAGTTTAAGCATAGTGTTAAGTTTCATAAGTCAAGAGCATAACGCTACAAACACCGCGGCGGTCTTCGTGCACAAATTCAGCTCGGGAAACCAGTCATGTTACTGATCCCAGAAGTGCCCAGGACAGGTTTCATTTCTCGGCCGTGCTTTTTCTGAGGTTGGCGCCTCACTTCATGCCCAGCTATTTTTAGGTGAGCTCCGCCGCCTTGGCTCAACGAATAACAATCAGCGAGTGCCCACGTGAAGCCCCCCCCCCCCCCCATTGTTGTCTGTCCTTTCGATAATATCGATGGACGGGGGTGGCCATGGACAGAATAGCGGGTGTTGGCTTATCAAAGCGGGTTCAGCTGTGGGGAGCCGCCTGCCCTTTGGGTCTGGTATTTTTCCACAATTTGTTCCTCTGATTCAGGTGTCTTTATTATTGGCTCCTGTGAATCAGGTGTTTTTGTCTTCGGCGAAGCCAGATTTTATTGCGTAATGACATGGAAACCTCAATCTTGATGTGATACGATTTACCTAGATGTCCAGTTTGAAATGCACTGCCAGCGACAACCCGTGGCTGATTTTCACGTCGTTTTTTTCGTGTAAAACAATCACTCGCTGGTCTGCGGTTTCCCATTTTGGTCTGTTCAGACGGGCGCTCCTTGTTGGTCACGTCAGAGGACATGGTAAAGCAGGTGACGTTGTGAGACCCAGGGGTGCTCAAATTTAGATCCAAAACGGTCTACTGGTTGCAGTGTAAGTCATATCTGGGGTCCAAATATTGGCTGAGCTTATAAATCTGAAGGCATACAGTAAGACTGTGATCGATTAACTAATGCTAATCGTTGCAAAGCTGACAACCATACGTTTCGTATTAAGTGCTAAGACACGCAAGCAGAATTTGTTAGGATCCTCCTCTCTAAAAATATCCGTCGTGACCAGAAGGGGGGTGGGGGAGAGGGGAAGGGGCCGGGGAAAAGAAGACTAGACTTCCTTCGAAAGCGGCGATGATTGTCAAAAAGCACAATGCATCAGCCGGACATGCGCCAGGACCTTAGCGGCACACCATCGACCAGAGGGGACATGTTTGGCCCCCTCCCCTGCTGGTCTCGATAACGGTGGGGCCGAATTTAAAAGATAAAAACAAAATGGCAGACTAGCGCACCGGCGTGCGGTCTCAGACTACACATCGTGTTTTAGTGGTTCGAGCTACCTCGTCACAGCGCAGCCCCGCAGACTGCGGCCGCGGTTACTGGCCCGGCTGGGCACCGGCAACGAACGCCGCGATGCGTTTCAAGCCGTAACTTATGGACATCGTGACGTGCACCCGCTTGAAACTTGCTACAGGCATTCTTCATGGTGATGTTTAGGCGTTTTAGGTTTTCATGATTTTGATTCTTATGCTGAATATTTTAAGTGTCACTTTTATGGGTATTTTTGGCAATACGAACCAAACAACAACGCATATGAATGACACATTATCTGAATCACATTTTACGTCTACCAATTTCAGACATCTTCTTTCGTTCACTTCTCTATATTAATTTGTCTACGCCCACGTGCTTTTATCAAAAGTCGGTAAACATGGTGTCACTCTAACATCACTCATGCTTGATTTATTGTATTCTCGTAGTCGTTATTTTGATGCAAGGCAGTTCATTGATAAATTAATAGCTACGTAACATGTGGCAATGATACCTCAACGCATTTTTATATTGTCGCAAATATTCGGCGGAGGTAGATTTTACACCTGGCTCAGTCAATACTGGGTTAAGCAAAACCATGGCGTGGGAAATGAGCGTTTTATAGCCTGGGACTGTGCACATTCCGCATCTCGATGTACCTAAAAATGCCCATGTAAGCAGACTGTAAGTCAAAAGAGGTATTTCACGTGGTTCGGGGAGTCAGATATCACGGTATCTACATAAGTAGTTGGTGCGCGGTGTTGCGGGCCGTTTTTAACACTGAAGTCCATGTTGCAAGTCAAAGCACTAGATGAGCTACACACTCCGGAATGATCACAGGCATACACGACATACATGCAGGCCACTGGGGCGTCGGCCAATCGGTATTCTTCAATTTGACGTCACAGGGGCGTTGGCCAATTAACATTTTTCAATCTGACGTCACCAGGGTGCTGGCCAATCATAATTCTGTAATCTGATGTCAACGCGATGTCATGCCGCTGTATAAAACCACCACGCGGCCTCCGCGCCGAGTCAACCCTCCTGCAAGAAAACAGCTGGCCTGCCTGTGCGGCCCGTGCGGCCGGAAAACAGCTGGCCTGCCTGTGCGGGCATTCGGAGCGGCGCGGGCACATTCTGTGCCAACAATACAAAGCCGTCGAATCTGGAGTCGAGTCTTATGAATCCCGAGGGACCATGGTAGCACCCTCGCACAGCAGCGGTCTGCAGGATCACGCCTGGTGCTACGTCACATATATGGTGCTCCGGTAACCACGGTAGTTGTGACTTGACATCTGTCGGGGTGTAACGCCCACGGCGAGTGTTATATGACGCCACTAGCGTTGCGGTATTTACGCCATCTTTAGCAGCACGGCTGACATCCTGGTGTTGTAGCCTTTGCACCATGCCGGTTGTTCGTAGTGCACACCCCAGGCATTTCCTCACACAAGGAGTTAATCTACTCGCGCATTGTTTACACCCTCGTCTTCTACATTCACGCCACACTTGTTTGTAGCACACACTCCATGTCTTTCTTCACACCAGCAGTTATTTGACTTCACTTGTGTTTTCAGGGTCTGCATTACGTCTCTGGCATACTGTACTTCGTCAGCACCTGCGTGAACCCCATTCTCTACCACATGATGAGCGCCAAGTTCCGCCAGGCTGTCCGGGTGAGTCCGTGATGCGTCCATCGTGAGCACGTGAGTCCGTAATGATGTCGAGGGGTGGGGGGGGGGGGGGGGGAGGAGCGACTGGACAGCACTGCTTTTTCGCTGACGCAGTGCGAAGACCAGTAGGATTCCGGCAACTATGTGAGACGGAAAGAAGGATACATGGAGGTGGTCCCAGTACTATGGAGGCATTGGATGGTGGGCTTTGGGTTAAATGGTAGACGAGTGGTCTATCGCTGCGCAGATTTAGTGGGAAATAAGTGAAGCTGTGAGTGCTTGGAAAAAATGTGTTCATTATTACATTCTCCGATCCCCACGGTCCTTCATTATTGAAGGTTTAGTTCGTATCTTTCGATTGGATGGATTTCTGGAAAAGGCGTCCACGTTTCTGGAATAGGCGTCCAATAAGCTTGTTTTGCGTGGGTCCCGATCCTATCATCCGATCGAGAAATTCCAGGACAACAGTAGAATATTGCGGCGAAGCCTTCAGATGCCGCAATGCTCGGCACGGTCCGCCCTGCCCTCTGGCGTCACCTGACCTTTAGCTCGGCCGCTGCTGCCGGCTGCAGACCATACCTGTCAATAGAAAACAGCGAGCAGCGCGGTTAAAGTGGCTCGAACGCACCCCGCCACTAGCGGGTGGTCTTGAGCCAGGAGCTCTAACCAACTGAGCTATCGGAACTGGCAAATGTATCACTGTAGTTGGTGATATTTCGGTGCTGTATCGCGTGCGAATTCGTTCAGTTCTGCGGACTGTTTTCTTCTGGGGCTACTCCAGACTTTGTGTCAAAAGGCACCTGAAGAGAAAATCCATGCAATACCTATCAGTATCCCAAGCCACTATCACGTTTACGAGAAGCATTTCGTCTCCGGAGACTTTCTCATGCTTGCTTCCAGCTCCAACTACGTATATACAAAAATATTCTGAAATGGCCAAGAAAAAAGCTATTGGTAAGCACTCGTCGAGTTCTTTTCTACTCAAAGCCTTCAGCTCTAGGTTTTTTTATGAAAATGCATTTCCTTTTCACGGGATGTGCCTGAACGCCAAATAGTCCCAAATCAAACCTGTTTTTGGGAGGTAAATCAGATTGGATACAGATCAAAGCAGCTCCTTCGAACTCAAATTGGAAATGGGGCTCCAATATTTCCAAGAACAGTAACCATCACAAATGCATTGGATATGGATAGGTACTTGCCTCCAATCCAATTAGCATCGATATTGGTACTTGGTCACTTTATGGGACAAAGAAAATTGAAAGGGTGAAAACAAAAATGCTAGGTCTTTTTCGCTGTTTTATTATCTTTATCTTGCCATGTGCCCATCCGATTTGATGTAGCATCACAGAACCTGCCCTCCCCGCGGCGCCCGCCCTTCCTGCCAGGGTGAGAGGCAGGCGACGCCATGTAGCCTCAGCAGCTGAGTGCGTCGTAAAGCCCCAACGACATGACATGACACAGAGAACCTGCTTCATGAAGTTGTTATTCACTGGGAGGTACGCCAATCAGTCAACAGACGTCAAAATGCCATCAAGTACAGTTTTGGTTGTCAACGGGTTAATGCTGCCAGCTGTAAAACCACCGAAGTAACATTGTAGAATGTAAGCCTAGGCTGAAATGGCACATATATGATGACTTTGTTGAGGACTTTGATATGCGGATCTAGAAATGGCTCTTAAAGACATGGCATATTCTTAGGCTTAATGACTTGGATCTGACGATGGTGTTTTATGCTCTTATTACGGCTGCTGTTGAGAATCGATGCAAATATTTACTGTGTCGATAACGGCAAAGGTGTACCCTCAGTAATTCACGATCGATGCTTTATCCATGAATGATGCGTTTTGCAACAATATACGGATAATTAAGGCTGGTTATTCATGGTTGAGCTATGCTGCCAAAGCATCATGTATGGGGACGTGTGGGATTAAACTGTGTTGCTGACATACATTTTTCGTCTGGCATGCTTATTTCCAGATTTAAGCCAATATCACATGTCATTTGTATGCTCGCTCTACCTCAGGATCCAACAGAGCGATTTAGACAATTCGAACGCAATATGAGAGTCTGGCTACCGCTGAACAACATTTACTAAAGACCACTGTGCGCGGCTCCACTGCACTACTAAACACATCTCCACTCAACACACGCACAGTACTCATCCGCCTGGGAGCCGCAGCATTGCAACTGGGGTAGTTAGTGCTGAAAGGGCATATTTACATTGGAGTGACCTTGTATGCCGCGCATGTTGCGTAGGGGTTGTACTTCAGGCGGTATGCATATGAGGCGTAGTGTTCACACGTGTGAATCACGTGGCCTACAGACACTAGGCTTGGGGTACAGACACTAGGCTTGGGGTACAGACACTAGGCTTGACTGCGTCGATCTGGATTGACAGGCAAATCCAGGGGACCCGGGAGCCCACTTGAGGCAGACAGTTATAGCAAACATAGGGGTGATAGGGTGGAGGCTTTCCAGATCTATGACGTTACGCATGAAGTAACGTAAGTATATTTTCCGTAACGTGTGATGTCACGCAATTCATGGGTGACTTATTACGAAATCAAGGCAAGCATGCTATGCTCTTAACAACTTTGGCGGTGCACAGAAACATGAAATTATCGATAAGCTATAAACTTGTTCAACTATGAAGGGCAAAGAAAAGGAAATTGGTCATCGATATATTCGGAAACTTTATCGATGTTCCGAACCCTTATTGTGACTTTCGATTCCACTTACAGTACGTTTGATCCATCGCAGCACAACGCACACCTGTGGTAATTGCTGTCCGCTTTGCGACTCCAATGTAAGCCAGCCGGGTGGCCAAAATCAACTGTGTGTTACGAACAGGACCGGTCAAAGCATACTGAAAATTATAAGCAGGCGATTAGCATTCAGCGTTTTATACAATGCCTCAAATCATGTCCTTGGCTTGTTTGGGTCCACTTTTTCACTGAACTCAACTCCAAATGAGTTGAACGCCACTTAAATCCCTAGCGCCTGTTGGACTTTTTCGCCGGCCTTTCGTTTGCGAAGAGCTCGCCGCTTCGATTTGTTAAGTTCACCAAGTCGGATCCGATAAGCCAACGGCGACCGGCGAGCGGGCTTCCAGCGCTGCGTTATGCCGTTCGGTTCTAAAAACAGTCGCCTTTGCAATTGATTTTATCGCGTCGTCATTGAAGCTGCAGAGCACAACGCAGGTCAGCGATAGGCTACCGATGCCATGGCGGCGAGCTTAAGTGCTCGATATTCGCCAGCAGTTGTGGGTTGACTTTTCTAGCTCCGGCTATATAAGATATGCAATGTTTGTGGCAGGAGTAATACAGTGTAACCTGATCGTCTCTTTGTAGGAGAGCCGGACCATTTCACCTCCCCGCCTGCTATGCTGCGTTGCCGCGCCACCTTCGGGCCCTTACTCCGATACGTATGACCATTGATCGTCTTCGTGACCATTAAATTGCATCGCTTGAAAAGTAGTCAAAATGTTGGCTAGATTCAGTTAAAAACAGGAAGGGGCCGGACGGGCACGCGACCGTCGGTCGTGCCCGTACGTTGCCACACCCACGAGGCTATTTCAGTTCAGATTGAAATTTGAAACTGAACGGCGGGCGGCAAAGAGGAATCGATACCCACATGTCCATCACATCAGAATAAACGCCCATGGTGTCCGTATCAGAGCTTATGTATCACTGAGAGCACTCTCGGTAATTTCCATGTCAGACGTACGTCTTCAGAGCTTCCGCACCGGCCCCGTTGCGGCGAGGTTTTATCGCCAAAAAAACAAAGCAGACGACTGCCACTTCACGTAATTCATGCTGTGAATGTTGTTTGTTCTTGCGAGGCACGCTGACACACCCTATAAACTGGGGTCGGGGGGGGGGGGGGGCTGTGTTCCCGACAGCTGTTTGCCAGCTCATTGTTACTGATCTTGTAATCTGCGTTTATCTGTTATCTCTTATCTATTGTTATCTCTTTAATGCCGTCCGCGAATGGAAAGCCTTGGTGGAGGGCGTGATAGCGAGACTGCTAGAACTAAAAAAGGTCTTGAGGGTCTTAAGGTTCAAAGGGGTCAAAGGGATGTTTTGTTTTAGCTGTACCGCTTTTCCAAATGAGCAAACGGTTTAGCGTGGCGTTGTGCGGGTGATGAGCTTGGCATGCTGTACACTTCTCCACCAACTACGTCCCAGCCTGCTTTCACGTTCACTTTTACACCAGACAACATGACCTTACACCCGCCAAGCCAGCCTTATCTTGGTCCTGTACTCCCCAGTGGGGTCTGGTCTTGATTTTGATCTCTTTCTATGGCGAATACTCTCATAATCAGGGTCACCTTCAGATTCACCGATCTGTCGGACACAAACACTAAAAACGCATTACGCCGAGAGAATCGGAGAACTCAGACACTGTCGCTATCCAGGTTTCGCCGCCTACCTGTGGGTCATGATATTTACACTATTGCAGACAGGAATTCGTCTGGCTACGAACAGCCATTGTGTATTTGCCAGCCGTTCTGCAGACCGTTTTGGTCGTGTATGTTTCCAACGTAGGCTGCTGCGCCTACTTTCGATTGCATTTGTATAATCGCCGCACTTTCCTCGTTTGAACGACACGCGAAGGTTCCACTTTTTGTCCTGGATCGGGTTTTGCTGGTGCTTTGCGCCAGTGTTAGCCATTTTTGCGGGCATATTTATGTTAAAAGGTGTGGTAAAGTAAGGCAAAGTCGCTTGGAACGCGAAATACGCGCATATAAGTGCAAAAGGGGAAATCGTTAGAGACACCGGGAGAGCGAGTTATGCTGAAGTGCAAAAGCATTTTGGGTAATGTCTTGGATGCTTCCAAATCAACACCATCGTCCTTGTCTACATTTCTCAGTGGCCAGTGCTTTCCAGCACGGTAGAAGCGGTTCCATGCCAGCTACTTCAAACGTGCTATAGCTCTACAATTCTGTGTAGTCTCCAATCAGCGTATCCCTTTTACTGTATGTAAAGATATTACAACCATTTAGACGAGCGTTATGACAGACGTGGTATCACCGTTTCGGTAACGAAACACGTAAGCGAGTCGCTTTCGGTAGCTGATATGAATGGGTATCACAGCGTACATTATTCATGAGTTTCGCAGAGAGAGGCGCACCCACGCTTAGACTTCACGCACGTCTTGAAAAATGCTGCTTAATATTGGCTGGCCGTAAGGATGACGGGGTCTAGCATCTAAAGCCGCGGAATCTTTGACTTGTGATATTTTGGGTGCCACTTAGCTGACATGAACTAACGTGTGTGCCGATGCAGCTTTTTCATCTCTTTTTCATCTCTATTGGTTTAGCCACACAGCTCGTCATATTTGAAACCGCTTTCGGGAGAGGAGACATCGACAGCGTTCCGACTCATTACTGGTGCACCTGACTGTCGGACAGTGCTCAGCACGCCTAAAGTTCCATAGACGGTACATTAGCATGCGCGGCGGTTGGGTGATTGGACGTCATTTCCTGCTCTGGTTGGCCACATCTGCGCTAAATTCGTAACCGTCGCTCTATGAGCGTTTCTCTTTTACCTTCGCCCTATAAAGGTGAGTGCTTCATGAGCTCTCCCCCTCCAAAAAAAATGTTACAAAACCAGGTAACCTAGAGCCAAGGGAAGGCGGCGGAATTGGAGTGCTGTTATCAAACTGCATCAGATACGGGCAAGCGAACAACACTGATTGTGGCTTTCGACAAGTCACATATAGTCAAAGTGGTGAACTCAGCACTTTTTGTACTCTTTTCCGGCATATCGACAGCTTAAAACGCTACGACAATGCAGAAAGAGGCATTCAACAGCCCTTGGAAAGTTCCATTGCGTGGGCACTTGTGGACGTAGATAGATTTGACCTTTGATATGGCACGCCAGGTCAAAGTCAGGGGTTAAGACCATTGTGCCATTGACCTGGCTGCCTATATCAAGATGAAATAAACCACATCAGTACGAAAAATAGCGTTTACAGCATCAACAGGCGTTAGTTCTGTGTCACTTGCGTTTAAAACATATCACTTCAAAGTGTCATATCTGGTCTCAAAGGCAATAATATCGACCTGGCTTGACCTTCAGCAACGTTACCTTGCAAAAGCACCCATAAGATAATAACTTTAGCTTCATTGAGTTAAATAGTAGACTAGGAAACTTTGGTAGTGCGTTTCCTGTGAGAAAATGCATATTTCATCATTGCAACAAAATGCCGGCGACGTGGTCGCGAGAAAGACATAATCAAAGTCATGAAGCTAAAAACTTTACGTTTTTACACCATGTGTAAGAGTGGACAGTGTTTTGTACACCATGCTGTTCCCGAAAACACCAGAGTATCTTTGAAGGCTCTTTCCATCGTAGGACGAGCACTATAAAGGCTCCAAAACGTGCGGATTCATGGTTTGCACATAATGACGCAAAAACGGCAGTGAGCATGTACAAAGACTTCGCGCAACATGATTCTCTGTTTCCTCCTCCCTCAGGGTATGTCTGTTTCATTGTTCTGTAGCATTGTATCATGGAGATCTTGATTTAGCTTTAGCACGTGCTTCTTAAGTTGTTTGCCATCACAAAGTTTCACGCATCCCGCCCCACATGTTGATGAAATGACATCTGTGAATACAAAGGTGGACGGAAATGGCGCAATTTTCTCTTTTCAATCTAAGTGTAGGTTTAGATGTGTATTTCAACGTGGGGTTCGACCTGTCCAGGAATCAATGAACAAATAAGGATAATTACAGGTGCAAAAGACTGGAGAAAGCCGCGTGGTGTATTTCAGAAAAGGAGCCAGATTGGACTAGATTGGAACAGACCCCCATAGAAAGAAATAGTTCTGCTTGTTTCAAAATGACATATTTTTGTAGATGACGTGCTTTTTCCGACGTTTTCATTTTTGCTTTCATCGTCTGAAACTCCGTACAAGCTGTGAAATGATTTCTGTTCACTGGTGTTATCTTTCCGCTCATTTAAATTTGTCAACAAACCCCACCTGCGAAATGGCGTGACCCGCTTCCACTCTTCTGCTTCTATTGAATACAGGTGCTGAGTAGTGCTGACCCGTTTCTACCCCTGGTGTGAGGCAGAGACGTCTGAAACCCTGGTGTAACGGTGAACACTGTTTTCCCCCGCAGGACACTTTCGGGAAGACCTGCCACAAGGTGTGCTGCAGAACAGGTGAGAGGCTTTTCTCCTAGCCCGTTTCATCACAGTGCTTTTCTCACAGTTTTACCCACAGTCGGTGACCTCGCGCGGAGTACTAACCTGAGGCCCGGTGACACAAACCCGTTACGAACGGAGCCGAACTCGGTGCGTTTTCAAGGTCCGGCGGTTTAAAGCGCGATCCCGACAGTATGGAGGTAGTTTAAAGCGTGATACCGACCGCAGGGAGGTGGTTTAAAGGCGTGATCCAGACAGTACGGAGGTGGTTTAAAAGCGTGATGCCGACAGTAGGGGGGTGGCTTAAAAGCGTGATCCCGACAGTAGCGAGGTGGTTGATAGATAAATACATCAATAGGCAGATATATCCATATACAGCTGAATATATGCAAAAATGGCATACTGATTGGTAGAAAGGGAGAGAGAGAGAGAGAGAGAGAGAGAGAGAGAGAGAGAGAGAGAGAGAGAGAGAGAGAGAGAGAGAGAGAGAGAGAGAGAGAGAGAGAGAGAGAGAGTGTTATATATATATATATATATATATATATATATATACATATATACACGCATGGGTAAGTTTTGTATAAAGCGCATCAAGGCTTTCATGCGCAGTACACGTTAAATTTTCAGACTTTCGGAGCGAGCAGTGGGGTCTCAGTGGTGCGGTTGGTAACGTGCTGGAGTTTTAATGATATGGTCGCGCGTTCGAGCCCAAGCCGAATTAGGACTTAACTATGAGCTCCGTGCGCAAAATGATGAAGTGCTCGGCGGCAGAGCATGCATGCTTTTGTTTTAAAGCAGTACTCTTTTCTCTAAAAGTTTCTTGCAAAAATGCTGGACATAGCCCCACTTAAACGCGAAATGCTTTCTCTATTTTGGCGCGTCTCCATCGCGCTACCTTCGATTACAGGTGGCCAAAGATTTTGTGGGAACGTCGGTTCTAATGCATATTTACAGCTCTAGTATACTTTGGCATCATACTGACGTTTATATTCTGAGCTTGATTCCACCCGGCTTCTACTGCTCTGGCCTGAAGCATTTCATCATCACGTCTCGCATGCTCAGCACTGAACTTTCCTATACCGTGTTGTTGACCCTCTGTCCATAGTTGCCAGGGCATGCCTGGATGTTCCATTTGGCAAAAATCTGAGTTCGAAAATATCTGGTTTGCACGCGACGCTTTGGGTTCCGAGCATCTGCTAAGCAAGGCTTGTTGGGTATGCCCGGAACCCGCCACCCATTTTTCGCCGTGCAGTTCAACGGATAACTTTGCCCTAAACTGGTAATTTTGAAGATGCACAACAAACTATTTGGAGGATTTTAAACGGATAATTTTTTCCGCACAAATAATTTTGAGGATATTCTATGAATAACTTTGCTCACCGCTCTGTCAGCCAGAACTGCGTTGGATTTTACGCGTCGATAAATCCTAGGGCACCGCCGTCCCGGACCTGGGTTGGCCGTCGTTGGCCAGCTGCGATCTTATCTTTTCAAGTCAGACGGAACAGTGAGCCCGTTCTGGGACTCTCACCCAGTGCCGCTGGATTGCGAGTTCAGCATATTACCCCAGACGACGCAAGTGGTTTCCTCACCGCCGTTGAACGAGATGGCACTCGTGGCTACACGGATACAGTTTTTATTTTTCGTTTACACAGACCGGCTGCTTTTGCGGCGGTCTTGGAACCAAGGCTGTTCAGTTTCAGATGTCATTCTTGCTTCACTGCGTGTGATCCGGTGAGATCTTTATTTTGCGTTGCTGGAATAGCTGTGGACGCTCAGGGCTATGCTCGCTCAAGTGGATCTCTGTCATCGTTATCAAGCTGACGACACCAAAGTGGCAATCATCGATACCGAAACGTGCCCTTCCACACCGTTGTTCAGACGATGCAACCGCCGTTGAGATTTTCCACAACTGCGGCCAGCTTGATGGTACGGTAGCGACGGCTTATGTCGTCGATGAAGAGCAGCAGGTTGTCTTTCTTCAGAGATTTATGCAGCTCGCGCTTGCGGCATCCTAGGTTGAAAGCGGTGGCGAACCACAGGGCTCAGATGAGGTGGCGACTAAGTCAGGCCTGCTTCGTCTGCAGGGTGATCCCTTATATTTTCAGGTGGCTCCTTTCGGGAATGACACTCTTCCGCTTGGGCTTGGGGTTTCCTTGCTTGACGCGAAGCATGTATTTTGCCGTAAAAGTGCAGTTCGATTTAGCGAACTCTACCGAACAAGGTATCCAGCAGGATGCCACGTTCCAAAAAGAGGTTTCGCCTTATCCCCGACCGGATACCCACGCTGTGCGTCAGTGGTTTGCGTGGTTTGCGTGGTTTTCAGTGCTTTGCCGCCTGCGTTTTTCACAACCTCGTTAAAAGGCCTCACCTTCGACGCCAGCTCCTGTACACTCACAGTTAGGAAATCGACTTCGATGTCGTTCGATATCGATTTCGTTTATCGAGGCTTCCTGCAGCATCCTTATTGCCCACTTTGTATGCCTGACATTGGCGGGTGCGCGGCGCCGGTCAGGTTATTGAACGAATCTTCATCCATTCCATAAAAGCACGCATCTCGCTCATTTCGCCGTCCTGTGAATTATCAGCTTGTTGCCTTAGAGCCTATGAAAATAAATGAAGCTAATAAAATCCTAGCGATAAATAGTGTGTTGGAATCGGAACGAATTTTCTCTGAAAGCCTTTACCGAGCGGGCCTTTTCATCGCACGCGCGTGATCCAAATTCAACTAAGAAACACGCGTACTCGTTTTGTACCCTTTTTTGTTATGTACACTGTCCGTCAGATGTAGCAGTTTCGAATTCCCGGTGAATGCACCTCAATGTATATAAAAATCACAGCACAGACATGTGATGGATATGGGTATTTTTAGAAACCAAAAGTATATAATTGTTGAAACGATGCGCTTTCATTAATGATTGAGTACTGGGGTGCATGCTACGTGTGTACGTGTATGTGTGCCTGTGCGCATGTGTGCGCATATACATATATATATATATATATATATATATATATATATTATATATTATATATATATGCACACATATGTGCATATACATATATTTTGTATATACATGCATGCATATATATACATATATGTATATATATAATATATATATATATACATACATGCATGTATATGAAACTGAATATGGGATAGGAAGGTTGCTGCCGAGTTTGAATGAGCAAAGTCCATTCAGCGTCCGCCAGCTACACGCCGAAATGTCCTGCCCATGCAGTCTGCGATCTTGGACGGTGCTGCGGGGTAAGTCATGCCCCAGTCCCCTCCCCAGCCCCTAACGCCCGGCCCTCGGGCCGGCGGCTGAGCCTCTCCCATTAAGTTGATGACCACTTGGCTGGCCGGTAGCCGGCATCATTTGGCACGGGCCCTGCGGCGTCGGATGTCCGAGGAATACACGTCCGCCGCCACGTCGCCCAACTGGGACGAACTTCCTGCTGTTCGCGGCCAGAGTAGGCAGTGCAGTGATGGATCTAGGGACAGGGTGGTGGGGAGGGGTGGGCAGGTAGGACGGTGTGTACCATTGGTGCGTTCTCGACATAGGCGTTCTCCGTTCTTCCAGCTTCGCTCATGCACACAATGCGGATGTCTCGAATTCACAGGGGGTGACGGAGTTGACACGGTTTTGAAAGTTCTCTTACACCCTTGAGAATTCTCGTACACTTCCGACGAAATCTCAGCACAAATTCACCAATCCAAGGGAAGACCGCAGCACCCTTGTGTTTACCATAGATAGATTCCAGCAATGACAGACAGCTGACCGTAGATAATCATGAGCAGATTAGCAAATCACAAATTTCCAAAAACTAAAACATCCAGGAAACGAATACTGATGCTCCCACTGCCCGGAGAACAAGGCGTCAACTAAACCAAAAGCCCAGTAACTCGACCGGCGCGTTTTCAGTAACATCTCGACGAAGTCTGACCCCGCTCACTACGATCGTCGGCTTGCTGCACCGTCCAACGAGCGCGCGCAGCGCGGCCGGGCTGCTTTCGAGTGCAGGCACGAGCCAGGGGGAGCGCTGTCCGTAGTTGGTGCTTGCAAATTGTAAGAAAGGTTTCTCCGCCGAGCGGTCCTCCGCCCAGTTTGGCCTTAATTGCTCAGTTTGACCTTGACCGCTCAGCTTGACCGTAATCGCTTGGCTTGACTTTGACTGCTCGGTTTGACCTTGATCGCTTAGTTTGACCCTGATCGCTCAGTTTGGCCTTGATCGCTCAGTTTGACCTTGATCGCTCAGTTTGACCCTGACCGCTCAATTTGACCCTGGGCTCCATCACGCAATGTGGTAGCCTGCGCGCGGCCTGGCGCCGCCGCTCGCAAAAGGACAAGAGAGGTCGGAAAGACAACTGGGACCAGGGGTGGAGCCAGGGACGCCATGTCCTGGCCATGTGGCCATGTCCTGGCCTGGCCATCGCCATGGCCATGTCCACTCCCTTTCTGAGTAGCGTGGGCAGCCCTTGTACCGCACTTTCAGTTTAAGACAGGTTAAAAGCAATTAAAACGGCCAGAGAGCTTCTGATG